AGAACAGGCAGAAGTTTTTCATAGGATTTTAAGGGAAAAGACTGGCATTTTCTCCTTTTTGATAAATTTTCAGAACTCAGATTGTGCAGTGGAAAGGATATATCTGATACCCTCTAGCATGTTTTTTGGGGCAGGGCAGTAGCTAAAGGAGAGAAGCAGAGCAGCACATTATGAAGTGCAGGCAAAATATGCTGCTGTGTGTGCTGGCCCTTTGCAAAATTCAGGTTTGTTGTGCAGTTCTGACTGATCTGTGCCTGTCATTGAATAACTGCCATTGGTTATGTAAAAGTTCTTTCAGAAAAAAATGTGTGCATTCTGCCATTGTCCTGCTTCATGCGTGTTCAACAGATAGGACAGTGCTTGGAAAAAATGTGCTCTCCAGTAAAAACGAAAACTTTGTAACTCGTGTACTAAAATTTGGCTCTTACACAGAGAATGTTCTTAAGGCTGTACTGCTTGATTATAGGCCAAGTTACCTAGCACACAGTATTTTCTCTGAGTACGTTTACCCCGTCTCTCATTGTCGTATAAATTAGGGTTAGGGTATCATTAGCACAACTCATTTGAAGGTCCAGGAAGCCAAAGAGCAAAGGAGGTGACTTCCTACAGTGAGAGAGCAGCTGGTTGGCAAAAACTGTCCTTAGAGGAACTTTTGACATGAATTGTTCCGATGAAGAGGGGAGCAGCTGAGGTAGCCTCTGTATACAGGATTAGTGCTTTCTCCCTAGAAACTAGCATATGTGAAACACACTTCTAGCAGAAGGGGCACATGGCTCTTTTCATCCTCCTTTTCCAGTTGCTTTCCCCAAGCTCTATGTGCCTCTAATTTTGCCACCATCCTGAATTTTAACATTTCTTCCAGCACATACCTGACATTAGTCTTGGGGAAGTTTTATTTGGATACTTTAGAAACAGAAGTCTCTGAGTTCTTTCTATACCTCTGAAATAGGGAGAAATTTAAAATCCTAGTTTAGGAACTCTAGCATCCTAAGAAGATACTCTTCTTAGATCTCAGCACAACAGTCTGTCTTCTTACTTAGAATTTTCAAGTTTCTAGAGAACTGGATAGTAGAAATCTGTTTCGCACATGAAGAAAACACTGATGTAATTTACAAAATGCTCATCCATTTACATTGAAGACCTGCTCGTCTTCCTTGCTTGTAACTTGCTTTGCCTGTCCTCTATTCCCTGTCATTTTTTGTAGTGCAATTTTGAATGTTATATTTCTTAACTGGAAATGATCCTCTATTCTTACATTGTCAGGCAGCATCATGTTTATTAATGACATTGAAAAGTAGAAGTGAACTTAGCGTGAGATGGGTGTTACACAATAGAAAAAGTAGATGGTCTCCTACTAAGAGCAACATTTTCCTTCAGACCTTTCTTCTAGCTGCTTGTACTCCACAAGCAATTACTTGTCTTTTGCCTCAGTCACTACAGCATAACAAGATAGCATAACAGGCCCCATGAAGGGCTAGAGGTGGCTTTTTCTCTTGGATGGTGGTTTGCCATGAGTAGTAGAATTAGGATTTAGATGTAAACTATTTATTTGCCCATTTCAGAAAATTTTAACATTTTCCACAAAAAAATCCAAACCATCTGTCTTGTGCCACTGCTGCCTACACCTCTTAGTGGCATTGTATTGCAATGGCAAATGCAAAGTGTATCTAGAAAAGAGTATTTTGCATTTAATCTAGAAGGAAGTATTCTGTTATTCAGTTTTATTTTCCAATTACTTTTTGTAATGCAGTTATGTCAAATAATCAAATTTATTGGGAAAATAAATGAAATAGTACTTAGAAACTTGCTTGCTTTCTCTCAAGGCATACTTTCTTGACTTTTTTTTAAGAATTCCTCTCGCATTTTTATATGTAACAGATGTTTGTTTTCATAAAAAAGCCTAACTAGCCTATTTATTTGTGGGGAAAAAGCATAAATTCATGTAGAAAAAAATGTCATATCAACTACAGATTGTTTCTGATGTGTGATTGCAGGAGGTAGAGAGCTTTTTTAGGAAGAGCTTTTTTCCCCCAGACTTTTTAAAAAAGGTGGAACCATTAGGATGCTCATATGTATATTAGTAGAAGACTAGAGC